CTTACTAAGGAATTTGACATCAAAGAATTTTGTAGACTAAAATACTTTCTTGGAATTGAAGTAACTCACTCCAGCAAAGGAATCTTCATCTCACAACAGAAATACATTAAAGATCTTCTAAAAGAAACAGGTAACCTAGCTTGTAAACCAGCACCGACACCAGTAGAATCTAATATTAAACTTGGGGAAGCTAGAGACGATCCAGATGTAGATAAAGGGGCCTACTAGAGACTTGTAGGAAAATTGATCTACCTTTCTCACATTAGACCCGATATAACATTTGCTGTAAGCATGGTCAGTCAATTTATGCAGAATCTAAAACAGGTTCACATGCAAGCGGTAGACAGGATATTGCATAACCTTAAAGAAAACCAAGGAAAAGGGATTCTCTTTAAGAGAGATCGCGGAATAACCCTAAAAGTATACACGAATGTTGAATATGCAGGATCACCAGTAGATAGAAGATCTACCTCTGGATACTGCACATTTCTTGGAGGGAACCTAGTTACATGGAGAAGTAAGAAACAAAATGTGGTGGCAAGATCTAGTGCGGAAGCAGAATATAGATCTATGCCCTTGGGAATATGTGAGTTACTATGGATCAAAATAATTTTGGAAGATTTAAATATCAAGTTGGATGACCTCATGAAGATACATCGTGACAACAAATCAGCAATCAGTATAGCCCACAATCCAATCCAGCATAACAGGACTGGAAGAAAAGCACATAGAAGTGGACAGAAAATTATTAAAGAAAAACTAGATAGTGATCTAGTATGTATCGATTATGTGTCATCAAAGGATCAACTAGCATACATCCTTACCAAAGGATTGGACAACTCTGCCTTTATCAGAATGATTGACAAGCTGGGAATGGCAGATCTATATTCTCCAGCTTGAGGGAGAGTGTTAAATCTCAGCCTCACGTTCCAAAGAGGATCCCACGGCTATGAACAATAATCCGTGGGAAGACCACCTGATCACATTAATTTCTTCCATAGTTAGATTGTTGATTTAGGAATGATTGTATTACTCATTATTCTGCAATTATTTAGAGTTATTTGTTTCCTTATTAATACACCTTATATAGATCTATAAATAGGGAGTATATTGCATAATAAAATTCAAGTTTTTCTTCTCAAACCTCTGATTTGTAACAAATACTAATGCAAGCAATTAATATTCAAAATTAAACATCTAAAGTGTAGCATAAATAACATAAAAGAACAAAATGATAATGACAAATACAAAATATAGGACTTTCAAGAGACTTTGAAACTTGCAAATTATGCAAACAAGATCTTACCACTGCACTCAAAAGCCTGAGAACCCAAACTCTTGAACTGAAATGAATCCTTACAAGTGAGAAATGAGAGCCTAATTCTCTCCATTTTTTTTCGAGAAAGAATCCTTTTGTGTGGTCCACATTTTTTATAAAATAATATTAAAATACTCATATAAGGTACAAATGAAAAAAGTGTGCCCCAAATAATATTAAAATAATTATAAAACGTACAAATGCGAAAAGTACGCCTCCCCTGCCCCCCCCCCAATACTCCTCCCAATTTCTTCTTCGTTGCCATTGAATCCGCAACTCTTATTCGTACAAGCGGACAAAAAGCAATCAATTAAAATTCTTTAAATTGTATGAAAAAATATAAATGCTAAAATTAAATTTTATGAAACTTCACTACTTGTATAAATTTTGATGCAGGCCTCAATTTATGCACAAGAATCGTGAAACTGAATAACAGTCAAATTCAGTATTTTTCAAGTCATGTGTGTGCCAAGAGATAATCCTGTATGAACTAGAAAATTATAAAAGATTGTAAAGTTCCTCTCTCTGAAAAGTGTGCAAATATGTTATACAAATACACTAAAAAAACATGCAAGTGCATCATATGAATGCACTCAAAAGTGCGCCCACACAATCAAAATATGTGAATGCACTATGTAAATGCATTGAATAACGCATAAGTGCATGATGCAAAAGCACTGAAAAACAAACGCACTTCATTTAAAAAGAGGTTTAAATTTCAAGCATAGGCTTTGATGAGTGTTAAATGTTTGACAGAACATACAAAAATGTTAAGTTAAAAGCAAGTCAAACTAAAGTTTCCTTTTAAAATAAATGCATTTGCATGTGCTCCGATCTATATGTCAAACTCCTAAATTTAAGGTTCGAGGATGTTGTGCAGATTAAAACAAAATAATTCACGTCGACCCTGATCCTTTATTAGTAGATGAATAGAGTTGGCAAAGTTCAAATGATAAAAAAAAAAACTCAAGCACCTCAATGATTGTCATGTTGAAAGTGAATCTCAAACATAGGGGAATCTATCTTTTTAAATACCTCCAAATTTTCATATAATACAAATATATTTAAAGTAAATTCGGTGTAACCCCTATAATAACCATGTTGACAAAAAATGTAACTGAAAGGGACTGCTTAATTTTTCAAAAATACCCTCAAACTCTAAAGTTGCTCATTTAAGGCCTAAATTTTGATAAAAGGTAAAAAAAATTAATATCCACTAAAAGTTTAAATACTTAAAATGAAATCAATCACCTAAAACTTAAAGCAAAATTCATATACCCTTTGCAACCATTAAGGACATTGAAGAATAACTTATGTCAATATTTTGTCTAGCATATCATTAAAATTAATTATCAAATAGTTTCCCACCAGTAAGGACATTGAACGTGTTATCTAACCAGTGATTTTTGTAGCTAAATTGTACCATACATAAACAATTATGATGATGGTCCTCTGATAAAGTGATTTTTGTTGCAAAATGATAGCACTAAATTACAAAAACATGTATATTGTTCAAACCTTTGAGTAATAAATAATAAGATATACTTGATAGAGTAGATGGGCCTCTATTAGTTAATATTAACTTAAATTTATCTTTTTAGGCAAATATTCACCTCAAGTCTATAATATACCCTTAGATGAAGAAAACTATGACTGCTGACAAGCGTCCTTTGGTTAGGTTGAGTCGACTATCTCCTCTGACTAAGTAGACTAGGGACCACAATAGCCTGGGATGATAGAACAATGATATATTGATTGAATTCCTCATTATTTCCCTACAATCCACTTTAAGTATATAATGGCCAATTACAATCCCTAAAAACCCAAATCAAACCCTAAAATCAATGTTATGCGACGGTTATTTAGTGTATGTCTAATTACTAGTCTTAATTGAAAGTTTTCTTTTGTTATAAAAATAAGTAATAAACCATAGGGACTTACACCTATGAGAAACCTTGAACCAAATCATGAAAGAGTGAGATGAATGCATTGGAAGTCAAAGAATGCATTGGAAGTCAAAGAATGCATTGATCAAGTAGGCAGGCAAGCCATTTTGGCACACAGAAGTAGGGAAAATGAGACATGTGAGTGGAGATCATGGTTGAGAAGTAAGAAGGGTGGGTGGGTGTGGGGGGGGGAGTAGAAAATAAATAGTACTATGTTGGGCCAGGTTCGTATTTAACCCATTAAAGCCATTCAATTACTCCCCATTTGTATAATGATTTGAAGAGTACCAAACATAACCCCATGAATTAAGAGTCCTATCTCTATCGATTTAACTCTGAACAATTAATAAACTCAATTAAATCTTAAGACCATATAATAATTCACTTAATTAGTTCAATATCATTTAATCTAGTCTAATTGACGTCAATTTCACGATAAAAAAACCAACAAAAAGAAAAGAATTTGAGGATGGTCATTGATGCAATTCTATCCACCATATATATCTTTAATAAACTTTAATATATTTTTACACATTATCTTTAATATGCACAAAATTAATTCTTAAGTTACTTAATCTATTGTCTTAAGATAAATAAAAATTATACAAAAAGCCTTTAATTACTTTCTTATTGCTCCATAAATTACCTCGGTAAAAATTACCTCCATAATAGATCTTTCTAACATCGTATTGATTTATTACTCCCATAATAACATGTCTTTTCAAACCCTTTGTTTCATTTCTCTTTTTGATATCATGCATCATATATTCATATATATATGTTTGATTCCTATATAATTACGACAATATTGCATATCTTTTTTTGTTTCTAAAACTATCACAAACTTGCTTGTTTTCCACGCATTTAGCAATTTCTTAATCTTAGGATTATAATAACAATGTTTCTAAACCAACTGCTCTAATATCTCAATAAATCTCCAAAAGTATTTCATTTGAAAAAAAAGATTTGCTTCAAGTAGCTTCTTTCAATAAATCTCTAATATGCTTCAAGATTTTGTTTGCTCTTCTGTAAGTTATTTCTTCTTAAAATTTTCAATTAATAATTTCACGAAGTACTTTATTTTTTTTCTTGATATCTTAGTCTTTAGTATGAAGTATTCTTTAATCTGAATACATTAACTGTGAAATCCCTTAAATAAAAAAAAGCATATAGAATTTCAATAAGATACTAAAAATTTTTATGCACCTCTTAGCATATAGCTGTTATTTCTTTATCTTCAACAAATGTTCTTCCAAATATACAATACCTATAGTGCACAACTATCACTCTTCTTTTTGCTTTCTTTTTTTGGGCATTTGCATGAGTTAATGAATGGCTGCAAATTTATCCAAGTAAAATAACATATATAATTTACATGCCTAAATTTACAGATATCCATGTGCATTTGTGCCTGTATGCATAGCTGTTTGAACTATCTACTCATATCCATATTCTACATTTTCAATACAAACTCGACTTCCAAGCCCAATAATTTTTGATGGAGCAAGCCACCAATTATTTTATCATTTAAAAAAAAATAACGCTATGTTTTAGGAAATGTAACAAACTAGTATAGAAATCATTTCCCTGGTTGCAAAGTCACTTGGTGCTATTGACTTTCTCATGCTTTTGCTGAAAAAATTTCCAACTTTTCGTGTGAAACAAGTAGAAAAAGAGTGAAAGCATAAAACATGGTTTAATTTTTTTTTACACTAAAATTGGTGAAAGGTTGTTACCTCAAGAACCAGAGTCGTCACCATGACAGTACAAACATTGCCATCAATATTAACTTTATGATGCCGAACATGATTAAGCAACTGATGCATGCACTCCGCTGGATGGACAAGGTCACCTTCCCGGGTACCCCAAAAGGAAAATGACTTCTCAACTTCCTGCCAGTCATAAAAGAGAATAAGGTGAGATCGTACACTGATTTTCTAGAAATAAAAATCACATTACACTCTGAAAAATTATTTTTTTAATATAAGAGAGTCATGACAAATGGTATGCGGCTCACGGTTTGGTTCAGCATTTGATGTATTATAATTGTAAATGAAACAGAACTCGACGCTCCTAATTTCTTTTTTAAATCTATTTAATATCAAGCAGACATTAAATCGGTGTATTGCCAAAAATTGTTATATTTTCCTACATAGTAAAATCAGGAGCAGAAAACTTAGGTTCTCATCCAACATGCCACCTCAAACATAAATATAAATTTTAGTTAATGATTAGAGAGCCTAGTTATTAAAGGTCTCTATTCATGTCACATAAAATTCTATGCGACATAGCAAAGCAAGCATTGCTTCTAAGATCAGCACTTCAATATAATGAATCTAATAAAGGTTTCTAAAGACAGAACCAAAGCGGTGGTCAGGAATGAATTTCAAGTTCATTGTAAGAATTTGCTGGTGCTATCCAGCTTTGAAATATATCACAGCAATCATTTAAATTGGTGTTTCAAAATGTTATTGTTTCAATGAACACATCATGTGAATAAGTTCAATATTCATAATAAAAAATTTATGTGGTGTGAATAGTAAACAGTGCTTTGAAGAGTCTGCAGCTTTTAGTCAATTCAAGTAAAAAAAGGAGTCCAATTGTAGTTTGGTTGAACTTGAGGAATCGTTAAATTGAAAATAGCACAGCCCAAGTGATAACATAGGTTGAAATGTCTAGAATTGCATAGGTGAGTATGTGCCAATCAAAATGCAAGGGATTTCAAATACTAAAACAAGAATCTAAATCCAAGGGGCTTAACCATCAATGAATATTAAATCAAAATATATTTTTAACTATTATTATATACTAAAAAGCATATTTCATAATTCATTACATAATACTGATTTGGTTATTGAATAATATGTAAGCAGCTGCCTCTACTAAGCAATCCACTAAAACGATAGGCCACTGTCGAATCCCATGGTCCCATTGGGTTTTTGGGTTGACTTATGTTAGGTATGCAACAGCTTGTTGCTGCAATGCTCGATTACCTATTTTGGTATGTAGACACGAGATAAGGAAATTTAGGACACACTAAGTATCTAGTATTCTCTATTAAGACCAAGTCATTATACACATGCTACAGTTACATTTCTCATCAATATACAGAGTATATAAAACTAAAAAATTATTATAAAAAGTTTCACCTGAATGCAAATACATTTTAAAAAATATTTTATTGATTTTGTATATGAAAATGAAATATTTATATTTAAAAACATTTGGAGAGTTAAAAAAAAAAGTGAAGAGAGAGGGGAATAGAGAGAAATCATGAGTAGCATAACAAGGCAAACTAATAGAGATAAAGGAGTGAAAAGAGAGAAATAGAGGGAAAGAGAGGGAAAAAGAGAGAGAGAAAGAGAGTGAGGTGAGAGAAAGAGGAAGAGAGGGATGGAGAATGATGAGAATCATATAGACAAAAGTTGCCCGCACAAGCAACTTCGGAGTGACGTGCAATCAACCTAGCTGTTCACGTAGCATCCTTGGTCAGGCAATCATAAGGTGACTTGAACCTTAAATTTATTTTTTTCAGCGGTGCACTATTGACTAAAATCAAAAGAAAAAGTACTATGTTCTAAAATTTCTCCTTTACATTATTAGACAAGAAGGATGAACATTTTCATCAGGCATTTGATTGCTACTGGCTATAAGATCCAACAAAGAAAACTTTTTGGTGTACTCATCCAAGTTAGATCTAAGGCAACTCAATATCAAGGGCATTACATGTTTATGTTTTTCCTTAAAACCTAAGTTTATATGTACATACCCACTCTTAAGATAAGTAAATGACTATGGGACAAGCTCATTATTTTCTGATGTCATACTCAAAATTCACAAAGTAAAAAATTATAAGTTCTAAAAATTTTATACTCAATTTTTTGCACTTCAAGAAAATGATTAGAACTATTTTTATAAAATCCTATATTCTTTAGGATTATATATATATATATATATATATATATAAAGCAAATTAATCGTCCAAAAGTTCAATTAAGTTTAAAGTTTATACTATTAAGATCATTGCTCAAATGTACAATAAACTATTTATTAAAATATTAGATTTTAAAAATGGGACAACTTGCACTTGTATAGTGCTTAAATGATCAATACATGTGTAAAATGAATGATATATGTATTTAAATGTTCAATAATAAAAATGCTGTGAGTTTAAAAATGATCAATACATGTGAGGCGATAAATGTGAGCCTTTGTGGAGGTAAAAGGTTAGTCCTCAAGTAGCTCAATAGTGATAATATAGGGTTACACCCAGGCCCTATCGAACTATATGGAAAAAAAAAATTTTGGCCTAGATTTTCAACCCTATGATATGTGGTGCAGATTTGATACAGTCCACTACATTATGATAAAATTTAGACATCCATACATAACATGTTATGAGGCCAAGATAAAATAATATATGCTAAAAAATAAATAAAATAAATAAAATAAAATTATGAAATGATTAGTCTCATGTTGATACCTTATACTTGACTAGTATAGTGCATAAATGTTTGATCATATGACATTTCTTTTAAAGTTTCCTTCGATAAGATAAATTCACTCATTGTTGTCACTTTTCTATTCAAAAAACTATACTTATTAATGGTTACAATTAATGCACAAAACTAATCTATATACTTTTAATTTTTATGTTCAATTCATGATTAGCTATTGAACATGATAAATACTTCAAGATCAATCTAACCAAATATGATGAAAACAACAAGAAGCATATTATGTGAAGTTCCACAAATGTTGTCCATAATGCATCGAACAAAAGTCAAAATTGTCCAAATGACACCAGTTCCCGAAACAAACTACCATACACCTTTTAGGATAACATAAATAACTTAAATTAACACCTTTATTTCCTAAGTCTTTGCACAACAAAGATTGAAAAATTAGGCCGCATGTGAGGTGACGACGCAACTTTGATAAGCGTAAGTAATGAAAAGTTTGCCAAAAAAAAGAAAATATCTTATTTTTATTACTATTAGTATTATTAAATAAAAATATCCTTCAACACTCCCATTCCTCCCTCTCCCTCCATATCAAGCCCATCCCATGCTTCCAACTCATAGACATGCACACATCCCCCACCCCTCTTCTTCCACAAGTAAAATCTCGCATGGTCTCTCTCTCTCTCTTGACTTCCAACTCCTCCCCAATTTCTTTAAACCCTTGGCAATTAGAAGTGAGGAAGCAACATGAGATCTCCTAGAAAGAAGGAATCAACAAAATCTCTTATGTGTGCATAAGGACAGGTAAGGAGTTTATTGGAAGAAGAATCGACAGGACTAGCAATTTGTGAAACAGAAAAGGAGCTTGTGAGCAAGCAAATTTGTAGTCATTGTCATTTCCTTCTCCAGTGATCTTGTCGAAGATCTTCTCATTCTCTCTCTCTCTCTCTCTCTCTCTCTCTTATTCTTTCTCTTTCTTTCTTCCCTCCTTTTTCCCTCTCTTTCTTTCCCTCTTCTCTCTCCCTTTTCTTCTCTCCCTCTCGCTTCCTCTATCACTAATTCTCCCTCTCTTTCTTTTTCTCTTTTCTCACTCTAGCTCTTTCCCTCTTTCTCCATATTTGTACTCTCTTCTATCTCACACTCTTTATTTCTCTCTCTCTCTTTTGTGGGCTCTGAAAATTCACACCACAACCTCTCTAATTAGGAGAGTTTTAGGGATGTTGTTGTCAAATTTTCAAAAGACATTATGTTTAAGATAAGACACTATCTAGAAATTTTTCCCTCATCTTATGAAAATTTTATGATCTAATTTCAAATTTCCCATTAGTGAAAGCCACTAATTACCTCACCTGATTATGATTGAATATTTTTTATTAAGGCTAGTTGTTATAGGTATCAAGGTTTAAAATTGCGTAAATAAGCCTTGAGGCATTTTTCGTCCGTGAGGCGAGGCATAAGCCTCGAGGCGATTTGAGGCGTAAGCCTCACGGACGCAGAATTGCGTAAATGAGAATTTAAGGATTTTAGCAGGTAGATAAGAACAAGATTCTATCATATAATAAAAACATCTAAATGACATGTTAAATTAGTGGAAAGTAAGAAAATAAATGCAATAAAATCATATCCCAAAGTACAAAATCACAAAATATTAGTCTATCAAAACTCTCAAAGTACAATTAAGAAAGAACATATAAAATTCAATCATATCCTATCAATAAATGGGTCTTCAAGGGAATCTTCATCTCCAATTGTATCTGTGAATGTCATATTTTTATCATCTTCAATGTGACTCACTTTTCTCTTCCATGTTCAATAAGAATGATCATTATCATGTTAATTGCTCATTTGATATAAATATAATGAAATAGCATATAAGAAGTTATGGAATACCTTTATTTGGTTGTTGTGCTGCAAAACTAGTGGATGTGTGTGGTGTGGTACTAGTGGATGTGCCCACTTGATCTGCTTCGCCCCTCAAGACATCAACACTTAGATCCTCTAGTTGTAGTTCTGATAATGTGGGCTCCGAAAATTCGACCCTGGCCTCCGCCCACTCTTCTTTTATTCGGCAAGGGAGTTTTAACTGAATAAGTTCCGAGGTAAATTTTGGAAGGCAGATGGGTTTGTAGATAAGACACTACCCAGAGATTTCGCCCTCATTTTGTGAGGACTTTATGATCTGAGTTCTGGTTTCCTATAGGCGCAAGCCCCTATAGTTAATTACCCCTCCCGATCACGAGAGAGAACTTTCGATTAAGGCTAGTCGTCAATCAGATACGTATATAATACGTGTTATCTGACATATAGTAGCAGCAATAGATTTGGGTATTGGTAGAAATTGGATTTGGGTTTTGGATGTTTGGGAATTAAAGAGTTTGATATTTAAATAAGAAATTTCACCATCATTCACTTAAAGCGGATGGTGGATG